CACCTTGAAAATTGCTTTAATGGTGCAACCAAACCTCGTCATGTCCCTCTATGTATTTTTGCTTTATAATCTATGCTATGACATGGCAATTTGACTCCTACCCAAGAGGGATGAGTACACATACCCACCAAAAAACACAGGTATAAGAATACTTATTGCAGCTGTATGTGTAATAGCCAAAAATTGGAAAGAACTTAAATGCTATCAACAGGTGAATAGACAAATGAATTACGGCATATTCACACAATGGAATAGTCAACAGCAATAAAAATATGGACCACTGATACATGCCAACACCTGGATGAATCACATGTTACATTAATGAAAAGCTAAGCATAAAACAATACATGATCTCATTCATATGAAGTTGAGAACAAGCACAACTGATGGCTATTTAAGAGAAGAGTGGCTATTTCTGGGGGAGGTACAGACTGGGAAAGGGTGCTAATGAAAAAGAAACGTTTTGCTCTTTGATTTCAGTGTATACATTGTGATATGAGTGTATCCATATGTGAAAAAACATCATGTACACTTATGATTAGCACACTTTATGTACTTCACTGTAGGTTTATTATTCCTTACTTTATAAGAAAGGCAGATGGACAAATTGGTCTGGCATGGTTTCCTTAATGGATTTTTGTTGTTCTTAATCCTCACCCAAGGATATTTTTCTATTGATTTTTTTAGAGAGAGTAGAAGGGAAAGGGAGAGAAGAGAGAAACACCGATGTGAGAAAGATTAGTTGCCTCCTGCACGCACCCCAACCAGGGCTGGGGAAACTGCAACAGAGGTACATGAACTTGACTGAAATCGAACCCAGGACTCTTCAGTCCACGGGCTGACGCTCTATCCACTGAGCCAACCATCTAGGGCTCCTTAATGGATTTGATGACAAAGAAAAAAACACATCACCACACAATCATATGCAATTAAATCAAAATTTATTCTGAGAACATGTAATCCTATATAATAAAAGCCTAATATGCTAAGTGTCCGGTCGTCAATTCAACCAATCAAAGTGTAATATGCTAATGATATGCTAAGGCCACTCAACCACTCGCTATGACGTGCACTGACCACCAGGGAGCAGACACTCCGACCTGTAGGTTAGCTTGCTGCTGGGGTCTGGCCAACTGGGACTGAGACAGGCCAGACCGGCTCTGGAGCCCTCCTGCATTCCCTCCCTGGCTGGCCAACATCCCGCGTCCCTCCCCGGCCCCAATCATGCACCGGTGGGGTCCCTCGGCTTGGCCTGTGCCCTCTCACAATCCTGGTTGAGGGACCCCCTCTCCCAGAGTGCATGAATTTTGTGCACTGGGCCTCTAGTAATAATATAACAAAGTATAGAAAAAACCTCAAACATAAAACTCACAGGAAAAAAATCTAAAGTGCTATGTAGGAGTATATTATGGATCTGTCACTGGATTTAACTATATTTTGATGGCAAAAATAGTATGGAAGATAAAAAACTATGACACTTCAAAATATTATTTTTAAAGATGTAGATAATTCATTATGCTTTTGACCCCAAAAAGGTAAAATCAAAATGAAAAACTCGTTGAAATGACTGCTGTAGATTATGCATCATTTTTATAAACATTTTTGAGACTTGCCTAAGCAAGGGACAGTTTCTTTTACAAAATAAATTATTAAATAATATTTATTTTCTGAAGAAACTTCTGCAATGCACACCTTATTGGAAAGTGAGCACTTATTGCAATTGTGGTTTATGATGCCTAAAGGATCAATTTGCTGACACTACATTCGTACTATATTTTAAAGTGACTACTAAATCTTACTACTAAAACTGTAATAATTACATTTAAAAAATAAAAATTTCAGATTTTTGTGACACAGTGACACCCATCCAAAAATGTGTATTTGGTATATTTCTAATTGTCTCATTTTATTACTAACCTAGTTTTCTATGTAATTATCTTCTTTTTTCCCTAATTTCCCAATATATGTCTCATTCTTTTCTACATTTTCCATATACTCACTTTGTCCCAAGTTTTCTCGAGACCTACTTCCTGAAACCCCCATCCTACTTACTTGACACAATAGTCATCCTGGGATTTTTCTTTCATTGTATTCCTTTGTGAGATCTTATGTTTTCAGGATCCCACGCCTTCTTACTTAGATTACTCCTTTGTTTTGGGGAAGCACATCCTCCAGTAGCCTAAGAAAGGGTACATGGTAAGGTAAAATTTTGAGACCATGCAAGTCTTGACCTTTATTTTAGCCCCATACTGGATTGGCTGGATATAGAATTTTAGATCAGAATTTTTAAATTTGAAGGCCTTACTTTCATAGTCTTCTAACACCCAGTGTTGCTACCAAAAAGTCTAAATGCCATTCTTAAAACACCATTTTCTGTAAACTTTGTTTTCTCCCTTGGGAAAGCTTTAGGATCTTTAACCCTGGGATCCTAAAATATCATGATGTGCTTTTGGATTTTTTTAATTCATTGTGATGGGCACTCAGTAGATTCTGTTAGTTTAGGAGACTCGTCCTGTTTTTGGGAAATCTTTTTGTTCTCTATTCACCTTTCTCTGTTCTCTCATTATGTCCTGTTTTTGGGAAATCTCCTTTTTGTTCTCTATTCACCTTTCTCTGTTCTCTCATTTTGAGGCTCTTATCAGATGTTGCATCCCATTCTGATCTTATTTTCCTATTTTTCATCTCTGCCTTTTTATTCTTTCAGAAATTTCTTCAGATTATCTTCCAACACATCTACTGAATGTTTAATTTTGACTTCCCTATTTTCCCCAATACTTTTATTTTCTGCTTCTTCATTTTTTTATAGCATCCTGTTATTTCATGGATGCAATATATTCTCCTAAATTTCTGAGAATATTATAGCTTCTTTGGGAGTTTTATGTTCCCTGCACTATTTCCTGTTTTTTCCCCCAGGTTCTTTTGTTTTGGTACTCATCTTTCATTGTTGAAGGTATCCTCAAATGTCTAATGATTCTTAGCCATCAGTTCATGGTGAGTTCCAGTGACTGAAAACCGTGTCTGAATGAGCAGGGTTTCACTGCTACAAATAATCAAGTGGCCAGTTGTTTTGTTTCTTGTTTAATTGTTCATCTTTCTGGATTGGGTGGACAGGGCTGGGTATAAGCCTGGCTACCAGATTATGTAGCTGGTGGACAAAAGGGACTGATGGCTCATAATGTTCAGAATACAGACATTCTCTCATCTTCCTGTTTTCAGGATAGTACCTCACTACCACTGTCCCCCAGGTCCCAGTTCTTAGTCTAACTGGGACTTTGCTTCAATTTCTCCAGAAATAAGCCTCCAATCTTTGGCTAGAAAGAGGTATAGTCACCTGGCTACAAAAGGAGGGCACAAATAAACTTTTCAAATAATCCCCTTGCTTCCAACTCTGCTCCTCACCCTCACCTTCCCGGGTACCTTGTGCTTCAAATCCTTGTGTCTTTTGGGGGCTCTGGTAGGAAAAGATAGGTGATCCAAATTTGTGGACTTTTCCTGAAATGAAGAAGAGCTGCCAGAACCGTGCTACTTAAAATACTTAATTTTTCCCTTCATTGCAAAGAATGAGAAAGTAACTGTTTTAAACACACACAAACAAGAAAACAACAAACCCAATCTACTACCTTTGTATGCCATTGTCTTGTGACCTTAGCATACACAACTTAAGTCTGTGTAAAATATCTATTTACTTTATATCCTTAGCTGATTTTCCCTTGCGGGGCTTAACTGTTGGAGTGTACCTTCACATGAACTTACACATTTGGATGGCTGCCCCACTTTAAAATATTTTAGGGCCAGTATACGGATTAAGCTTATTTAATATGATCAGAGAACAGAAATAGTATCAATAGCCAAATGATTTGGGATAATTTATCTTGGCTCAATATATTTTAAAACAAATATCTTATGTATATAGTATCTTATTTAATTTTGCACTCCCAGTATCTGGATTATAATCCCTAACATTATTAGATGAATGACTAAATTTCTAACTAGAGATATTTAAAACTGACGGGTTGTCCCAAAAGATAATGAGTTCTCTAACAATGGAGCCAAAAATCAGATAATCATTTATTAAAGATGTAGGAGTATTATGCATATATGTATAACCCATGGACACAGACACTATTGTGGTGAAGGTCTGGGATGGGCTAGAAGGGGTCAATGGGGGAAAAATGAGACATATATAATACTTTCAACAATAAAGACACTAAAATTTTTTTTTTTTAAAAAGGAGTATTTATGTATCAATAAGAAAATAACCCAAGTGACTTCTAAGGTCCATAAATTGCTCTAACAATCTGCTCTAACACTGTTTTCATGAGAGCAGTTTTTTAGTCGGATAGTTGTGATAGGAACTCCGGAGGATAAGCCCCAAAAGCTGACCTAACATCTGTCCTCCTCCTACAATGCATTGATGTTTTTTTTCTTAGGAAGCTGATGGGTTTAAAATACATGATGTGGTCTTCTGGGCTCAAGGTATTTGGACAACGTCAACAAAAAGGAGGCTGCCTATCTGTTCTGTGAGAGAATACCTTTAACATTAATGTCCACTGGTTTAGAAATCCTGTTTCCTTAGTCCTTTGATAAGTATTTCTATAGAGAATAAATGTGCCTTTCTTTATCCTAATTATGGTGACTGCACTTGACCAAAGGCACATGTAGGGTGAGTATGAAAGTGGTAAATTCACCCCTAACCCCACATCCATGACACACAAAAAGAAGTGAAGGATTAGGGCTTATTCAGGTGCCTATCCTTTTGTGCAACCTGGAATTACTTAATGTGTAAACAAATGGGTTCAAATGTGGGTCTTGACAACATCTCACATTATCCTCTTCAAGTATGTTTCTTTCCCAGAGTTGCCAAGTCACCTCCTATCAGAGACACTGTATAGACACAGGCACTACATACACTGATTTTACTTAGCACTTAGTGAATGTTGAATATGCCTTAAGCACAGCAGGATCTATTTCATTTGTTGAGAATAAATGACCATACTCTGTTCAGCATGTACAAAGCTGTTGGTTTATTCAGCTGCAAAGTTGGGGAAAGGATTCCTTTAGGAGTGAATAGCAAAAACGCGTTTATGAGCAAGGCATTTTTACACATACACGCACACATGCAACACACACACAGAGAAAAAGGAACATATATAATTACATAAACATCAACATATTTTTAGATTTCTCTATCTTTCCCACCTCCCCTTAAAAAACAGGTTGTAACATTTTAAAAACCAGTTTCACAGAGAACATCTACATAGGAACAGTTTCTGATACATTCAGTTACACTAACAGTATGATACGGTTTCAGTTCAATAATTTTCCACTACCAAACATTTTTTCTACCCCCTCCTTTTTTTCTTTAAGACAACTAAGGCTCAGCAGAAATACCCATTAGGTTATAAAATCCTTCTATCTCCTAAAGTTGCTACACATTTATAGAATTTGTGATTCCATTAATGCTTTAAGGTTTTGATGCCATAACTGTAGACAGTTATGGAGAATAGGAAAAAGCAAAACTAAAATAAGGGTGTATAAGATAAATCTTTAACAATCTATTTTCTGAATCCTTTAGATGCCGTCAACCAGGATCATACAGTTTTCAGTCTTTATGGTGTGAAAAGATCTAACGGTCTCATGCATTTTATTTATGTTGACTTCTACATTTTGACTCATCTAAATAAACACTGCAAGGCCCATTTACAAGAGTACACATACTTCCTTGTTCAGATAGATCTAAAGCTAATCTATGTAGGAAAACAATGATACTAAAAAACTCTAACTTCAGGTTATATTAGGCTGAGACTTTCCATAGTAAGGTTCTTTACAGTTAGAAGCGATCCTGGAAAGTTTGCAATGGATGGGAAAGTGCATTAAGTGCTGCTCCAGGAAACATACAGACTGAAACACTGTAATCCACTAGCAGTTAGTATAGAAAACATAAATGCTCTCTTAATAATCCTTTCTCTTTGGTCTTTTGGAAGGTATTTTATTTCCTCTTGACTAAAGTCTGGGTGCCAAGATGCAGGAAATATATTTCTTATAGAACAGGTGCCTGTTTAATGCCATGTGCAGACCTATCTATATAAAAGCTGTGAGATTATTCAATTTTAACTACCTCCCTAAAAATGAATGTCAGAGAAGAGTATGCTTAGGAGGGTACTATTGGGAGTAGCTAACCTCCCACTTTCCACAATGGCTGTTGTGAAGGCTGGGTAAGAAAAGAGAGAATAGCTTACTCTGTCCTTCCCATTAATCATTAGATACCTAGAGTTCGAGTCTATTCAGTTAGGCAGAGTAAATTGGGGCGAGAACTGAATGAGGAGAATAGTCAATTTATTTTTTGCAACAGTACCTTTTTACGAATTCTCTATTGAAGTTCTTGTTTTATCCACAGGGTCTGTCAAAGTGAGTGCTCACATGCATATTTTCTTAGTTGACTGATGGGCCTCTTGGATAGATATTCAGCTTGTCAGGACAGGGCAGTTTGGTTGAGAAGGCATTCCTTTCTCAGCTCTGGGCTGTGTAACTTGTACTACTTTCTCAATCAGAAACATAGGAGACACCAGAGCAAATGGTGAATCTTTACAGTGATGCAGTTAGGAGTTTGTTAACTGCCTTTTGGAAGTCAATGTAAGAGCAAGTGGCGTTGATGGGTTCAGTGTAGGTTGTTTCCTTAACTTTTTTAGTTAATCAGCCACAGCAACAACCAGAAACACATGAATTAGGGATCTGTTTTAGGAATTCAGGGATGGGAGTGGCTTTACTCAAGGTTCGGCTTAACTGTTTGGTGGCAAATTGCAGTGCTCCATTTAGAGTGGCGTGATCTCTGGAAAGTCGGCTGGGACTTGTCAGCGGCTTTTGAAAAGGTGGGACTCCACAAGAAGCCAGAGGTGGCCACTCAGGAATTGGTTCCAGTTTGGGTACACAATGGGAGCAATAGGAGAGTCTTAGACCTATCTCTCGAAGTATATGGACCGGTGTGTCCTGATCTAAGAGTCTAGCATGATATAACCAGGAATTAGGATTTAAAGGTCTCCAAGTAGTTGAATATTTTAAAAGGCACTTAACCTGCCAGGCAAGACTCTCCAGACGTGTCAGGTTGGGCACCACAGGGTCCTCTTCTTCAGAGTAATCCCAATCTTCCCCAAAGCTCTCATTTAGGTAGTTAGCACTTTCTTCTTCCTCACTTTCTGATTCTGTTAAGCGATCAGGAGAGGGAATTCTGGGACCCATAAGGATAGGAAAGAAGGAACCAGAAAGAAGTAACAATTGAAGCCAGCAAAACACAAACACTGGCAAATAGAACAAAAGATGAAAAATCCTTTCAACAAGATTAACTTGCCTGTTTCTGAGTCCGTTACACACACAGTATGCCTTTGGCTTGCACCACTATGCAGTTCGAGATTATGTTATATAGTCTTCACTTACAAAGAAGACATCTCGGTTCTCAGGACCAGTTCCGTGTGTAAAAGTTAGGCACTTACCAGCGGCACAGGTCAGAGTCTCTCCTTTAAATCCTGGCTACCCAAGAAGAGAAGGGGTCCTCATATAGGCAAGCTGATTTTCTTAGTGTGGTCTCAACTGGCTGTGATACTGTGAAGAGACACTTGTGTCCTCTGTTTTGTTGTCAGGGATATTATATCTACTTGGTAATGAAAAGAAGCTCAGTGGTCGGCTTCATAGTCTGCTGGTGCAGCAAATTTTGTGCAGGGGATGGTGGGATGAGTTGTCAAGGACATCTGCTATGCACGGATCCGACGTTTTCCATAAGTGGTACAAATGCCCTTGGAAACTGGTGACTTAGCTGTTGGACTATCTGGAAAGGTAGCCTTAACCTGTAAATGAGAAGACTAGACACATGATATTAAAGCCTGAAAGCACTAGGTAACATTACTGTCTGTCTAACTATGAGTATCCAAGAACATGGATGCTGAACAAGAAATCTTCTTAACTTTCCCATCTCTATTTCATAGGCTTAGGCAGATTTTCCTATTGGGAATGGTTCCTAAAATCATAAAATTGGGAAGGAGAGCCCGGGCCCATTTTAATCCTTTGTTGGTACATATCTGGGCCAGTTTGTTTTTACATATGCAGTTCTAGCCCAGAAAATTACTTCCACAAAGCAGATCCCTTATGTCCCGAACTCCAAGTAGAGAGCTATAAAACAATTTTATATTTTTACCTTTAGATATGCTTGGTGGGATTAATTTTAAGATACGTGTCCTGCTTGTACAGCTGCTAGATCAGTGGTTCTCAACCTTCTGGCCCTTTAAATACAGTTCCTCATGTTGTGACCCAACCATAAAATTATTTTCGTTGCTACTTCATAACTGTAATGTTGCTACTGTTATGAATCGTAATGTAAATATCTGATATGCAGGATGGTCTTAGGCGACCCCTGTGAAAGGGTCGTTCGATCGCCAAAGGGGTCTCGACCCACAGGTTGAGAACCACTGTGCTAGATATTAGGACTTTTGCTGGGACCCAGAGGTGGTAGTCATGTGACCCCACTCTACAGGTATGAGAAGATGGCAGGTATAAATCTTAATACAATAGGAATTACACTGAATGTAAACAGGTTAAACTCACAATTAAAAGGCAGATACACTGAATTAAAAAAACTAAACAAGATTCAATAATATGTCGCTAACAAAAGACATTTTAAAGCAAAAAAAAAAAAATACACAAAAGAAACCAAACAGAAAGGTTAAAAAAAATGATGAAAAAATATAGCAATTTTAACATACAACAACAAGAAAAGATTTTAAGCCAAAAATTATAAGGAACAGAGATGGATGATAATACTAGTAAAAGAAATTGAATAAAGTGACATACAGTTAAATCCTCACTTAATGTTGTTAATAGGCTGTGCAATATTAAACAAAATGGTGTTACCATAGGCTAATTGATATAAACAAGAGTTAGGTTCCTATGGCATCTCATCAACATTATAAGGAAGTGACCCTGAATGAAACGATGTTATTCAATGTTATTTGAGGACTTGCTGTTCTTATCATATATTCACCTGAAAACACATACTCAAAATTTCTCAAGTAACCACTGATAGAACTGAAGGGGGATATATAAGCAGAGATACAAAAAGCATGAAAAACAGTTAAAATATTAATATACTTTGAGTATTACATAAGTAAACAGAATAATACCAACCAATACAGTGGGGCCTTGACTTAAGAGTTTAATTTGTTCTGTGATGGAGCTCATAACTCAAATTACTCGTATGTCAAATCACTGTGACGTTCGCTGCGCCAACTAGCGGTGGGGTATCTGAAGCTGGCTCGTAACCCGAATTTTTTTGCGCTTGCACTCAAAGCAAAAAATCGGCCAAGAGACGGCTCGTATCTCAAAAAAACTCGTTAGTCGGGACACTCGTAAGTCAAGGCCCCACTGCAGATATTTGAGTATGCACACACACAAATAGATCATGCATAAGGTTATAAAGTATAATTAGGGTCATTTCATTCAGACTAAATCTCTGACCACAGTACAAAAAAAGCAGATATTAAGTGTTACTTAAAAGTAATCCCCTGGGAAGGGCGGGTTCAGAGTGGAGGTCAATGGGAAAAAGACAACAAAAGGGACATCTGTAATACTTTCAATAATAAAGATAAATTAAAAAGAAAAAATAATCCTATGCTGAGACATAAATGATTCAGGGGTTAAAATGGAAATTATAAAGGATATTAAAAATATTAACACCGAATAATAATATAGACTACCTGCAAGGCATAATTTATAGGACATGGCCAAACCAGTACATAAAAGAAACGTATAGCTTTGAATACACTGATGCAAAAACAAGGAAATTTAAATATCTACAAGTTTAAAAATAAATAAATAAATATCCACAAGTTAAGAATTCAAGATAATGCAAAAGAGCAACAGCAAAATAAGGCAGGAAGGAAATAATAAAGACAGAAATGAAATTAGTATGTAAAATAGTAATAAAGACCGATAAAACTAAAATATTTTCTGAAAATATGAAATAAAAAACAAAACTGGCAAGACTTATCAACAAGGTTTAAAAATAACAAAGCCTAAAAAAAAAAAAAAACAGGACAAACATACTAAAAAGGAAATTCTAGATGAAATGGCTAAATTCTAGAATATAAAACACTGAAATTCATATAGGAAGAAACAGGTAACTTTAATAGAATAAATTAGTAAGTATTAAAGAAAGGTAAAAACTACCTATTAAAAATATCAAGACCCTATGGTTTTATAACAGAGTCCCACTAATTCCTAGAAGATTCATATCTATTTTACATAAATTGTTCCAGAAAAATATGTATAAACTAACTCCTTTATGAATATAATAAAATATTAATTCTAAATCTAGATATGAACCAAATAGGAAAAGTATAGGCCCATTTCACTTGCAAAAATTCCAAATATTACCCAACAAGACTAAATGTGTATTAAAGAAAAGAAAAATATGTTATAATCAGATAGAGCTTATCCCAGGAAAAGACTTTCCCAACTTGGGAAAATTTCTAAAATAAGTCAATAAAGCAAACAAACAAATAAACAACAGATAAATTTATCAACTGTGGATATTTAACCTTTGTTAGTTCCTGATCAACACCTATTCATGCTTTAAAAAACAAAGTAAAACATTCTTACCAAACTAGCAAAAGAAAGTTACTTTCTCAACTTGGTAAAGGTTGTTAACCAAAATCTTTTAGCAAATAAAGGGTGTCCCAAAATTCACGCAAGAAGTAATTTTGATAGAAAATACAGGTTTATAATTAAAAATTGTAAATTTCTTATTGATTCATAAAGTATACAGTATAGGGTTATGTATGGAATAGCATAT